TAATTGGTCATTTCTCTTACTTCTTTGGAAGAATATTTCACTTGCATAATTTAGAAAATCAAATTAAAAGTTTTAGGTGAGGAGTTTCTTTAAATTGGTAACAATGAGCAGAAATGTGTTTATCTGCTAAACTTCATCTATTTAAGGAATCTTACTAAGGTCATAAACAATGCTCATTTGGTATTCTCTAATTAACCCACTAGAAATACAGAATCTGTCTAGTGACTTTTAGTATTTTAATGAAAAAATTCTGGAAAATAATGTAACATCAGACACAAATAGATTCACACAGGTGAAGGCACAGAAATACATACAGATATAATCACCCAACAGTGGGCCATGAATGTAGTTCTACCCATAACTGGACAAAGTGCGATTCTGACTATGCATTTGCCTTTCTCAATTCAGGAAAGAAGCCTGCACAGATGAACATGTACATATAAGCAGCATTTCTCATGTTTGTTTAAATAAATTTAAGAATCAAGTAAAGGTATCAGCTTTTTGCTGTAATCAGTGTGCTGATTCTTTTGCACTTAAAGACCTCTTGCTATGAATTACACTGATATGTCTCTCCACTACCTCCAGATAGGAGGGACAGAACAAGTGGAGACCAAGAATGGAATGATTTGCTTAAAATGCTCTTTGCCATTAATCTATCTCTGTTCTAGAACAATCACTTTTAATAGCTCTGATTTATTAGTTCTTTAAGGCATTTTTCCTTCTTCAATGATAGTAATATATGAAGTAGAAGTGGAGAATCATTGGAAAATGATACACTCACCTACCAGATATCACAGGAGTTAAAGAGAGAGACAAATTAGATGGTGGTAAATTCAACCCTGAACATAGTAATTGTCATTGTTTTCACTAGATTTTTACTTTGTTTCCTGTTCTTGAGCATGTCCAGCTACTGACACAATAATTTTAGTAACCATCATTGGACTTAATTTTGTTCTTCACACTGTATTTATCTTTCCTATTTCTATTCTGTGAATGTGAATTAGGTCTTGTGAGATACAATAACAACAAAAAACTCAATGTTAACAAAACCAAGATTAATAACCCACTCAAAATGCAAATTAAAACAATACTGTTATTCCATCTTACTCCAAGAAAGAAGCCTATATCATGAATGAGTTAAAAAAAAATTATGGTATTGGCACACTCCAGCAGCCATCGGGAAGACACTGCCCATAGGTAAACAACTCGGTATGGATGCAGCAGCCGGCCCTGCTGTCAGAGAAGAGAAACTGATCACCAATAAAGGAAAACCCATTAGAATTACCACAGACTTCTTAACACAAACTATCAAATCAAGAAGAACTTGGAGTTAAGTATTTCAAGTCCTAAAAGAAAACTTCTAAACCCAGATTGATGCACAATGAAAAACTATCTTTAAAAATTAGTGAAGAAACAAGATACTTCAATCACAAAAAGCAGTTGAAGGAATTCATGACCACCAAACCAATCTGACAAAGAATACTGAAGGACATTCTAGAGAGATAAAAAAGACGATGGTTCCAGGAACAGTGGCAGAGGGGGGTCACCTAGGGGAACAGACAAGTGAATGGAAAGGAAAAACGCCCAACAGCAGGAAAACAGCATGACAGAGATGAGCCAGTGCACATGGGCCATACTCATTAATATAGCTGGCCTCAATTTACCAATAAAAAGAAAAACAGGTAGAGTGGATCAGGAGACAAAGATCCACCAATATGCTTTACCCAAGAAACACATTTAACTAAAAAAGAAATTCATAGACTAAAAGTAAAAGGAGAGAAAATAGTACTCTATATGACAAGGAATCAGGAAAAAAAAAAGTAGGGGTAGCTTGCTCACCAACAGCAGAAGGGATAGGAAAGATATGGCATCTCTATACAATGGAAAGCTACAATGGAAAGCTATAAAAGAAGATAATGTTGAGGCTCTTGTAGGTATATGGATACAACTTGAGATCATGCTCATGGGTGAGATGGTTCAGGCACATCGGTGAACATCATGTGGTTTCCCTAGTATAAAAAACTAAAGGATTTAGTGGTTTCCAAAGTGCACAATAGATATTGTGAAGGTAAAAAAGGAGGAGATGTCTAAAGGGGAAGGTGATGGCTATTATTAATCTTATCCTGTTTTGAAAACCTGTATTGGTTTCATTATTCTTTTGGTTTTATTCTGTTTTGTTTTGTGTGCTTTTACCATATTTGATGGCATGGACAACTATTTCAAAAATAACAAAATGTATTATAGTAGCCATTACTGATTTCCTATTGTCTTGTGTCAAAGCCTTGTACTGCTTTACTTATTTTCTTCCGGTTGATTTTAATCTATATCGTTTTGTTTGATTTTATTATGCCTGATGGCATAAGCAGCTACTTTGAAGATAACGAGATGCATTATGGTAGCCACTGTTATATTCCTATTGTCTTGTTTTGAAGTACTGTGTTGCTCTCATTGTTTTGTTTTGATTGATTTTACTGTTATGTTTTATATGATTTTTTTATCGCTGATGGTATGGGCAGTTATTTTGAAGATAACAAGATGAATTATGGTAGCCACTGTTGATTTGCTTTTCAGTTGTTTTGAAGGCTTGTATTATGTTTATTGTTTTGCTCTGACTGACTATTCTTTTACTTTTGCTTGATTTAATTATGTCTGATACGTATAAACAACTACTTTGAAGATAACAAAATGAATCATGGTAGCCACAATAAATAAATAAATAAATAAATAAATAAATAAATAAATAAATGTATGGTATTTAGGCATAATGGAATATTACTGTGTCATAAAGACAAACCTCAGTCATTTGTAGAAAACTGAAATCACATTGCTATCATAAATGCTAAGTGAAATAAATCAGACACACAAGCTTAAATAGTTTACTTTCTCTTACACGAGAAACCAAAAATAAAACCTAAGATGTCAAAATAAGATTGTAGGAAATTAGGTGATAGAGCTTTGCAAAAGAAAAGGGAACCAAGTATAAGAGGATACAGGTAGGGATGGGGAAGGGAATGGGATGAAAACTAAATTAAGATGTGTTATGTACATAAACCAATTTCTCCACAAAGCACAATCATTATGTCCTGCAAACATGTATCAATAAAAATAAAAACAGTAATATCTCATTCAAGAGTATAAAAACGAAAAGAAACATGAAAAGCTTCCATTTGATATGATGCTACTTCCATGGCAGACAGAAAGAGCAACACTGTACTCGTTTGACGATGGGTCTTGCAGGTTTGTCAAAGAATGAACATTATCTCACTACACATATTTCAGTAGCCAGAGTGACTACAGGCTAAGCTGTAGGATAATGGAAAGAAGATGCATACTGTTGTCTTTGGGAAGGGACAAGAACTGGTTTATAATGATGCAAATCACTGCAGATTGGACCTGTGTGCTTCCTTGCTCTCAACCAGTGCTGAGCACCAGGAATCCAGTCCTCGGTCTACAGGTCTTGATAGGATCATAAAGAAATACACCATTTCTGTCAATAGAGGCCAACACAATTTAAGAATAAAAACCCAAAGTTGATGCAGATCTGCCTTATAAAGAATATGCATTGACTTGACCCATTTTTTTTCCATTTTGTCAAACTTATAGGTTAGATTCTTTACAGGAACCACAAAGTTGAATTTATGGAACATCATTTGATCTAAGCTGCTTGTGAGACTCATGGGCAGTTATGTCAGTTCTCATCTGTCAGCTATGATTATGTCTTTTCTTTCTTCTCCTGCTTCTTATCCCCATGGAATGCACCCGAGCCAATAGCATTATCTGAAGCAATTTTCTGCTTTGGAAGCAACTCCCAAGGGTCACATGTCAAGACCAGAAAATTAAATTAAATTAACGTGGGCCCAATGTGCATTATAGCTCATCTTTTCCACATTAAAGTTTAATAAATGAATATTTACATATTCAGATAGTTATTTGCATAAAATAGTATACATTTATTATATGTCTTGTGGAATGTAACAGTAAAGTTTCAGATCCCGTAATTGTGAAACTGAAGTGAAATGGATAATGTCACAGCTCTCATAACCATTTCAACTGTTCTGTCCAGTCATGTCCTAAACAAAACAGCTCTCCTCAAGAAGGCTCTTTGCTTTGTTGTGGTTTATAAAATTCTAGCCTGTATCAAGTCAGTGTTCTGAGGAGGATTTCAACTTTCCTTCAAGTCTCACATGCGGAGATGACCTGTGAATATGAAAGGCAGTGGAGAGAGAGCTTTCTGAATAGGATAAAAAGAGATTGACATGGAAAAATGCTCATCTTGTTATTATCTAAAATTGATTCTACAGGTGGTGACATAATTCTGTCACTGTACAAAGAAACACTGAATTATACAATTTAAATGAATGAAATGACTGATGTATGTTTTTAAAATGTACATCGTATGCACAGAGACTCAATACTGATGCCTCCAACCAGCATTATTTGTATTTACTGTATACAGATTTTTATTGTAAACATCTCTGTTATACCAGTTATCACTTTTTCCTGGATTTTATTTTTTAAAATGTCTGTTAAAATTCACATTTTCTCTTCTCTTCCTGTGGTATGAATGTTTTTGTCTGCTCCATCCGGAATTCACAGTTTGAAATTCTAACCCCCAGTGTAATCACATTAGGAGACATGATGTTCGGGAACCAATTAGATCACCTAATCTGAAATATGCATTATGATATGCCGAGACCAAATAAAATTTTCTTTACATAAAATTAATTCATTTACCTTCTTTCTCTTGTTTTGAGCACAAGATAGAAAACATAAAGCCCTGGAAAGAGAGGTGGTATCAACATTCAAACTAGAGTTTTACACTTAGATTTTTTACTATTACTGACAATAGATAAACTTGGCCAAAAGTATCTTACAGTTATTGTATTTTTAATCATCAGCTTTTTTAAAAATACAAACTCAGTGAAACACCTCTACTAGAAGGCTGAATCGCTTTCATTTAAAAGTGTATCAATTTGGGCTCAATCAGAAATAAAATTTACCTGGAAAACTGTCAATACCGCAGATACCGTTGTGTTCCAGCTGTTAGTGAAGCAGTCCCTCAGCAACACTGTCTGGAGTGAGACAACACAAAAAACCAGGCTGCAGCTGTGAGAGTGCACCACACAAGCCAGCAATAACACCACCCATTTTATCTAGAATGAAGTCTATTTCACCTCCTCATTGCACTTGAAAATAAGATCTAAATTATACGAGGAAGCTTTATCTTTAGAATGTACCAGAAATTTTGGTAGCTTTAATCTAATAGTATCACATTGCCTTTACATTTTGCCCACATATGGCAAAGTCAATAATTAAAAGAAGATGCTAAAACTTTTGCAGTGTTAAAAGTTGACTCCATTTATTGAGGTCAGAATGCAATCACTTTCTAAGCCCCAAATTTTCTACACAGAACTCTGGTCAATTACCTTACTAACTTTTCTAGCTTTTACATAGAACTCTCATTCCCCAGCTTTGCAACATTATCTCCTCTTCTGCTCCGTACACCTCAGACTTCCCTTTCTTTACTCCAACCCATCCTTCATCTCTGAGTTTACATCACATTTCTTTCAAGAGATCTACCTGAACTGCATCTTATTACATCTGGGTTAGGCCAGCCTCCTCTGCACTTCCAGAGCATCTTGTACTCCCTTTGTTATAGTATTGTGAAAGTAAAATGTTCAGAATATTAAATTTAGCAGTTTATTTGAACAAAAAATCATGAATTGAACAGCATTGGAAACAGTTGAGTTTTGGAACACTCTGTCCTGCAACACTAAAAAGTAGTATTTATACAGAGAGGGAAAAGAAAATGAGTGACTTTAAAAAATGAGTTGTTTGATTATGGTTGGGCAATTGCCTTTTCGGCACATGGTCTGATGATCTGGCAGCAGGGAACTAGGTGAGGCTTATGTGGCTGAGACTTAAGCTTCGATGTAAGAATATATTAGAATTGCGTGGTTGTAGGCTGTTTATGTACTCAATTATGTTGTAATAACTCAATTATGTTTGAATCCTTCAAAAGGACTCAAACTATACAGACAACTTCTTTTCCTCTTTATTAGCATATATTTGCGATACACAATAAATATGTTCATTTGGGGGAATTGGCACATATACATAGCACATATTGATTCTTATTCCTTACCTTTTCTTTCCCTAGTTTCAGAACATCTCAGTACCCAGATCAAAGTACAGAGGGAACTTTTGGTCATTTTATAGTACTCATCATGGTGTTTTGCAATTTATAATTATAACTATATATTCTGTCTGTTCTATTACTCAGAACATAATGTATTGCCAGGCATATGGAACAGGTTGCCACTGCCTACTGACTGAATAAAGGAGCACTTAAAGATCTACAATTCCCTTTTCAAACAGCTCTTTCTATAAAAGGTACATGTACTTCATTAAATAGATACTTCAATTTTTGCAGTTAGTTTCTCCTTATAAGTACGAGGTACAATATAAAGGCATCTTTTCACCAGTTTCAGAACGGCGATAAACCAAGTAGAAGAATACAACATCAGTAATTTTTACAAGTCCAGTCTAACCTGTAAATGATAAAATCTAGAAATTCTATGCTGGCTGTGATGAATGCCTTACTATCAATAGTATTCAGGTGGCAAGACATTAGCTGAACAGAGACAGATAAATGTAAACCCCTGGTTAACTTCAGAGGCTTGCTATCTGTGGTAGTTTTTGTATTTTTCTGGGTAAATATACTGATTATTCAGCAATTTCTTCCTGAATCCTATTAGCTATTTACTTTCTATATAAGACTGCTCTATGTAGCAATTTGTATTCAAACAATTGAGGACAAAATGAACACAACTGGCGAACTTAAAGGCTAGTTTGGAAACCTCTGATTCTATTTTACTGCAGTAGTCCCCAAAATTTGTGGCACCAGAGACTGGTTTCAGGGAACACAAGTCTTCCCTGGAAGAAGGAAAGGGTGAAGTTTGGATGATTCAAATGCACGAACTTTACCATGCATTTTATTTCTATTATTACATTATAACATATGAAATGATTATTAAACTCACCATAGGGCAGAACTAGTGGAAGCCCTGAGCTGATTTCCTGTAACTCAATGGTCACATCTGGGGATGATGGGAGACGGTCACATCTGGGGATGATGGGAGACAAAGTGTGTTACTTATGTGCAGTGTACTCTGTGATCTCATGTACTATCACTACAAAAAAAATTCTTTAAAAGACAGAATGGTGAGAATGGTAGTAAGCTCTTAAGTGCTTTTGTAGAAATACCAGATTATTCCTCCTGGCCTTTAATTCAGAAGCTAAGGAAGTATGAATGCCTCAAACTTGCTTTAAGCCAACCTTTAAGTAGCGGATTCTCTTCTATCCTAGCCAAAATTGATTCACCTGACTTGTTTACAAATAGTTTGTGGATCAGCTCCTTCCCAGTTTGGTGTTCTTTTGTAAATGGAAATTTATAAAATATTCATAGTTTTCTGAAAGCTAAAATAGGTGATCATGGAGCATCTTATCCCTGGTTAAGTCTCTTTCAAAATTTCTGCTAAATTTTCCAACATGTCAAAAATCTCATTATTTACCTAAAGCTGATAATTCCACTTTAGCTTTGAATGCATCTCCATTATATGATGACCTGAACACAGTTTTTTCCCCTGCTGTGACAGGTTCAATTCATTAAATGGGTTGATTATGTCACATAGACAAGATAATTTTGCAACCTAATCTATGTCACCAAAATGTGCAGACGGTGCTAACTTATTCTAAAACCTTGGTAGTGATTCTCATAACTCAAAAACTCTGGCCAATGATCTATCTTTAAGAAGCAATTTCACTACGTAAAAAAGAGAAGACATATGTGCTAGTGTCTATCTCCTTACAAAGTTTCACAGACAGATGTGAATTAAGAATATGTACTTTAATTTGGTAACTATAATCACATATGCAACATGTTGGTAAGAAGATTTTCAGATAGCCACCAGTTTTCTATGGATGACAAAATGCATAGACTCACATTGAGAAGGAACTTACTTGACCCAAATAATGAAACCAGAAACTTACCCCACAGCACCCATGCCATCCATGTATAGAGCAACAAAAAAAGACCAATTCAATTTTCTTGATACATAATTACTTAAAAGACTTGAACACTTCTGCAGCTGTGATGTTGGTTGCTAACAAATGTGCATATAATATATCCCCATGCATATCCTCCCAAACATATGTTCCACAAAAACAAGCATTATGCCTTGTTATCAATGTTTGTAGGTTTAACCATCTGGATTTCATACCACATGATTCATTAAACCTTTCTTACAAAAAACCTTTCTTACAACTGAGTCATAATGTTTCATTACACTGTTTCATCAATTCTTCCAGTTTTGGTGATGGCCTAAAAGGAACGGGTGCCACCTTTTGAACTTCAGCCTCTCCTAAAAGTTCATGGAAAATGTCCTCAGAAGCACATAGGATCAATTCTCAAGCTAACAGTAAAGGCTTCTTAGCTTTAGGAATACAGTTAGAAATATGCTTTCAGTGCAGACACATTTGTTAAAGTAGTGGCTTTCAATACTATTTTCTGCTCATTATATTCACATTGTTTTTCTTCAAAAAACTCTAAGCCCTCTCTTTCAATGAAGAGTACTTGTTCTCTTTGGGACAAAGCAATTTTGAAGGCTTCATGATTTCCTTGGACAGCTGGTCACCATTTATTATACAAAACTATCTTGGACAACATTAATCAGCTATTGCAATGAACTTTTAATTCAAGTATGATCTTGGCATTAATTTTTGGCAAGGGAGGCTGGCTTAGAATCTTCTGCTGATTCATTGGGTCTTTCTATTTCAAAGAAGTACACAGTCACAGTGATGGGTTGTTTTGTTTTGTTTTGACTTTTCAGCTAGGATTAGTGTGTGACCTTATCAAAACTGACTGAGGCAGTAAAAAGCATGGAAAAGAGGCCCAGATACAGAAGTGATAAATAAAATAAAAGATGGGGTACATACAGACTAAAATAAGTGTCAGAGTCTGACTTAAGTCTACCACTAGATACAGCTGCATAATTTATCAACCTACTTCCCACTATAAAGACTGCCACCAAATGTAGCTTGTCACTTGCCACTTGCTGATAGATCTTCGATGAGTCTGCAAGTAATTGATTATTATAGCCCCATGCTGTTATATTTGCAGTCCCTATCACTAATATTATTACTGTATACCCACCTCAGACCATCACATACTGAATTCTCATAAAGAGTGCACACTTAGATCCCTCATGTGCAGCTCACAGTAGGGGTTGGAGGGTATGTATTGATTCTGAACTTCAACTGGGACATACTACTGTGGTTATTTTTAATATACCCCTACTTAATATAGTCAACAAGTGCTCTCCTTGAAAAAGGTAATTTAACACTCATAGAATAAGAAATACAATAAAACAGCCCACACCATTTGTAGTATTTAAAACTTCTAGAATACTATTACTGTCACTGTAGAAATTGTGCCACTTTTTATTATTTTAATTGAATTAATATTGTAATAAAAATGTATGAATAATCACTTAATAAAAAGAGAGAATTATTATGTACATATGTAAACATACATACCCATTCATATTAAGCTTCTTTCCTGGGGAAAACTAAATAAAATAACTAAAATCTCTGGCATCTCCTAAATATTACCTTATTGAAAAAAATTATGATAACAACTAAAATATGTAGAACCATCCAAATGTAAGTGCTGGAGCTGCTATTCTGGGTACTTTTTCAATATAAGATGACTTATCCCAGATCAGGATGAAGTGAGCAGGATGGTTCCTATATACTATCGTTACGCTAATAAAGCATATAACTATTAAAACTAAGCTCAAAATCTGCAAATTAATACCCCAATGATACATTGCACCCCTGTTGTAATAGCTGACATCAAAAAGACTAGAAATAAACACTAGGAAGAATTTGATGAAAAGGGAACCAACAGACTGCTAGTAGTAATATAAATTGGTACATTCATTATGGAAAATTAAATGAAGATTCTTCAAAATAGTAAAAATAGAACTTCTGCCCGATCTAGTAATTTCTATAATGGGTATGTAACAAAAAAAAGATAAAGTATTTATACCAAAAAATTCTTACCCCTCGACATTTTTTCAGCACTCACATTAACCAAATTATGGAATCAGTGTAAATACTGTTCAGCAAATCACTATATCAGTGATGGTGGACCTTTAAGAGACCAAGTGCCCAAAATGAGTCCCAAAACCCACTTAATTATTGAAAAGTACCAAGACTGCAATTAGACCTGCATATAGAGGTTTTAGTTTAGAAAAAACAATTATACGTTAACATCTTGTATCATAAAAATTAAAGTAATATGTGCCACAGATTTGCACCTGCATCAAATAAAGAAAATGTGGCATATTTTATCATAATGAAATATTACTCAGGCATAAAAATAATGAAGTGCTGTCATTTTTAACATCTATAGAAATAGAGAATATTATGCGAATGAAGCAAGTCAGATACAGAAAAAAAAAATCCCATACTCTTCCTGATTTATGAAAACTAGTATGTCAAACTCGTAGGAACAGAAGGAAATAATCATCACTAGATTTGGAGTATGGACAGGGGACAGACAAAAATGAAGGAGCATTTCTAGGGACTGGAAAGGATGCTGGGAAGGGGCAGCAGGGATCAAGGGTAGGACAGTGGACAGATATGATCTATGTCATAGGGCACTTAGGGAGAGATTGACAGGCAGCTAGGAGGAGACCACGCCCAAGACAGAGTCAGAACGGACGTAAGGCAAAGCAGATCTATGGCTGAGGATAAAGTTCATAAATAGTGGGCCCCCAAAATGGAGACACAGCAGGGAGAACTAAAAGCTTCCTTAGGGATAAACAACAACTCAGACCTGGTTTAAATGATACCATCTGGTCCATTAAGCCTGAACAATATAACAAACACATAGAAAAAAATGTAACAAACATACAGAAGACCTGAACACTTTGAACCTCAAACCTTTCTAGAATCGGTTTTGTTCTCCTACAAGATATCCTTGCTATGTACCTTGTTTTTCTGTTGGATCAGTATACCTAAAAGACTACACTTGTAATCCTATAGGTTGATTATAGTTTGACCTAGGTAAATTGTGATGTGATTCTCTTGTATAACAACACCTAGAACCTTAGTGGCAAACCACTTTGAGTACTTCTCTGCCTCTTAGGAGCTTTCTTGTAATATTTTTTTTCCTATTCCTAACCTCTTTTGTCCTTGAGTCCATTTTTCAGATCCACAAGACACAAACTCAGCACATCTAACAGGTTAGGAATTACTTCTCTGTAACAGCATGATGAAAATATTATAATGAAACAAAATCATTAATGTGTTAATGATAATAATAATCTCAAAAGGACAGTTTTCAGTTTATAAGCAAAATTTCTGCTAGTCTACAAAACAATAGAAATTTTCTTATAACACATCCTTTGCTTGACTAAGCCAGTGTGTATATATATATATATATATATATATATATATATATGTGCTTGCATTGCTCATATACACGGTGACCAACATGTAATTGGATCTCCACTTCTCAGAGGAGGAGGCTAGGACTAGCAGACATTCAGAGCGTGGCAGACTGGAGCCAGGCCACCAGCTCCTACTCCTGTGAACACTTCGCAGATGCATCTTGTTTCTAACATAGCAATTTGTTTATAAGTTATTTTCAATTTAAATTTTCATTCTGGGTTTCCACATCTTTATGCATTGGGTGTTATGCAGAGAGACTGTATGGTGATCAGGAACTGGGCTGCAGATATATAAAGATACTTTGAAACTCCACGGAGTACTAGTCATACACATATGTGCACTGTGTCTTATCACATTCAGTTTTAAAACCTTGAGCTCATTTTGTAGAAAATTACTCATCCGATATTAGAGTAAATTAAAACTTTGTTTCATAGTATATTACTAAGAAATAAAATAGTTTTCAGATATTACAGACATGGAAATTCAGTAGCTAAGGATTAGGGTGAAATGCATTTTAGCCATCAGGATTGCATGCTCCAGAGATACCAGTGGTTTACATCAATGTCTCAGTCTCCCATCTGTATAAACCAAGCCACAGTTTTCTCT